GGCCGTGCGCAACGGACTGGTGGACGAGGTGGCGGTGGGCGCTGAGGTTCCGCCGGTGACGGAGGGGCAGTGACCCCGACCGGCGCCACCTCTAAGATGGGCGGCGGTGTTTGGCTACTGCTCGACCGTTTTGCGGTCGTGGCTTGGCGCGTGGTCTGCGCCTATGGATTGATGGTGCCCAGCACAGCGATCCAATCTCTTCTGTAGCTGGTCTCCTGCCAGCCGGTTCCGGTCTTATTGTGGATCCGTTCCGGATTGAGATCCCGGCAGGCTGTTGGAGTCATAGCCGTCGCTTTGGTGTGGGCGTCCGAGCTGCACATGTTCTCCACCGGGCTGTCGAACACACACCATGTAGTTGGTTCTGCCGCCTGTCGTGTTGTGCCGGACGGAGCCGTGAAGACCAGCGGTCCGGCTGGGGACGACCCGGGTGCGGTGAGGTCCGTGCAGAGCCGCGGTCGGGTGGAGGTTTTCGTCAACCTCGCATATCTTGAGGGCGACGTCGTCGCCTGCCGTGCTTCGGAGATGATCACGACCTGGTGACGGTATAGCCGTTCGGGTGGCCTCCGGTGGTGAAGACCTGTCCCTGGGACGTCAAACTCCAGGATGACGGAGTGATGGACCACCCGGTCGATGGCCGCGGCGGTGGCCATGGGGTTGGCGAAGATGTGCTCCCACTGGGAGAAGACCAGGTTGGACGTGATGCCCAGCGATCTGCGTTCGTAGCGTTCGGCGATGAGGGTAAAGAGTACCTCGGACTCCTCAGCGCCCTGGGGCAGGTAGCCCAGGTCGTCCAGGAGCAGGAAGTCGAAGTTGTCCAGCTTGCGCAGCCGGCGGGGCAGGTCCAGGTCGCGCTTGGCGGCGAGGAGTTCCCCCGTCTTCACGGGGGCAGGCTCTGCACCAGGCGGTAGGCCGGAGCGAAGAGAACGGAGTGGCCGGCTTCCACCAGGCGGTGGCCCAGGGCACAAAGGGCGTGGGTCTTGCCGGTGCCGGGCAGTCCGAAGGCCAGCACGTTGACGCCGTGTTCGACGAAGCTCCCCTGGGCCAGGTGGTCCAGTTGCTGGCGCAGGGACAGCGGCATCCGGTGGTGCTCGAAAGTCTCCCAGGTCTTGCCCGAGGGGAGTTTGGACTCACGGCGCAGCCGGTTGATGCGCCGGTGGCGGCGGTCCTCGGCCTCCTGCTCCAGCACCTCCAGGAGATGGGCAGGGCATCGCCGTGGCCGGCGGCGGTGAAACGGGCCACCGACTGGGCGCCCACCGTGGGCAGCTTGAATTGGCCGCACAGCTCACCGATGCGTTCCTGAATGATGCTGGTGTCGACGACCGTCATGCGCACACCCCCGCCGTGGCCAGGCTGACCGTGAGCAGGCGGTCGTATATCTTCAGGTCCGGCTGGCCGGACAGGGTCAGCAGCGGAGCTTCGGGCACCTTGGGCTCGGCCAGATCCCGCACCTGTGCGTAGTCGAAGGGCTCACCCGCTTCCAGCAGCAACGACAGGGCGCTGTCCACCGTCGCTTCCAGGTGGTCGCCGCCAGGTGCAGGATCCGCCGTACTGCTCCACGTCGCCCGTTTCCCCGCGCCACTCATAGCGTCGTAGGTTCAGCCGGAAGTGCATGGTGGGGAACAGCGTGCTCGCGGAAGCGGTAGCGGGCGAAGGCTCCCGGTTTGCGCACCAGGGAGCCGATGACGTGGCGGTAATTGACGTTGGCTTCCCCCTCGCCATGCGCATTGCTTCACAATAAATGCTACTTAAGGAAAGTAGTTGCTTCACCTACAATGTTACCGAAAAAGGTGAGGCAACCCCATGGGGAGAGGCATCAGCAGGATGGCAAGGAAAGAGTTGTTGGGCACCATCCGGGACCGTTACCAGCACTCCACCAGGAAGGATAAGGGCCGGATCCTGGACGAATTCACCGCGGTGACCGGTCTCCACCGCAAGCACGCCATCCGGTTATTGACCCAAAGCAATGACCAAAGGGAACACCAGCCTTCACTTTCGGGGAGACGCATCTACGATGAGGCCGTGCGCGAGGCGGTGATAGTGGTGTGGGAGGCTTCGGACCGCATTTGCGGCAAGCGCCTGCATGCGGCGCTGCCCCACTTGGTGGAGTCCATGGAGCGCCACGGTCACCTGCAGCTGGACTCCCTGGTCAGGGAAAGGCTGCTCACCGCCAGCGCATCCACCCTGGACCGGCTGCTGAAGCCGATCCGGTCCACGGCTGGCAGCCGTCGTCGTAGGGGCCGTCGGAAATCCATGGGACACCGGGTTCCGGTACGGACCTACAACGACTGGAACAAGCCCCCACCGGGCTACCTGGAGATCGACCTGGTGGCCCACTGCGGCGGTCCATTGTCGGGTTCCTTCATCCACAGCCTGGTGGTGACCGACGTCTGCACCGGCTGGACCGAGGCCGTCCCCCTGCTGGCCAGAGACCAGGCCCTGGTCCTTGCTGGCCTGGAAGCCATCCAGCGCCAGCTGCCCTTTCCCATCCGTGGCATTGACTCCGACAACGACGGCGCCTTCATCAACGAGACCCTGTTGGAGTGGACCTCCCTGCAGGGGATCGAATTCACCCGTTCCCGGGCTTACCGCAGCAATGACCAGGCCTATATCGAGCAAAAGAATGGGGCCGTAGTGCGCCGGTTCGTGGGACACCACCGCTACTCGGGCCCCCTGGCCGGCCAGATGCTGGTCCAGCTTTACCAGAAATTGCGGCTCTACGTGAATTACTTCCAGCCCTCCTTCAAGCTGCTGGAAAAGAGCAGGGAGGGCTCAGCCACGGTCAAGCGGTACAGCCCGCCAGCCACTCCCTGTGACCGGCTGTTGCAGCACCAGGCGGTGACCGATGAAACTAAAGAGCAACTGACCCATCACCGCGTCAGTCTGGACCCGGTAGCCCTCCTGCATTCCATCCGCGAAGCACAAGCCGCCCTGGTGGCCCTTTCTTCCCCCGATCACGGTGAGCCAGCCCAGCAGGAGAGCCTGGAGCAGTTCCTGTCCCAACTGCCCACCCTCTGGCAGCAGGGTGAAAACCGTCCCACCCACGCTCCCCGGATCAGGGGACCACGCCATTGGCGTACTCGCCCGGATCCCTTCGAGGGAGTGTGGCAGGAAATCCTGGGATGGTTGGAAACGGAACCCGACATCACGGCCAGGACCATACTGGACCGGCTGTGTTCCAACCGTCCTGGACAGTTCAGTGATGGTCACTTGCGAACCCTGCAGCGGGGAGTGAAAAAGTGGCGGGGCGTCATGGCTAGAAAGTTGGTCTACGCTGGCCTGGACCAATCTGTCCAAACTCTTACCGCAGCGTCCGAAGCTGCCCTGTTGGAGCCGACCGCA